ATCACCAGTGCTGCAATCTTCATAGCAATGAATGTGTATTGAATACCTTTCATTTTTTATAGGACGAATGATTCGAAAAAGTCCTTCAAATATTTTTGTCTACTCAGGCTAAGCTAGTTTTCGCTATTTATAAACTAAAACAAAATAAAACTATCAAGTTTACGGATTTTGTTATTAGTTTCTGTTTCTTATACATAATTATTCATCATCAATTTGGCTCATCACAAGTCCGCTTTTGCCCATATGCTTATCCCATAGATTGTCACGAAGTACGGCCCTGAGCCACCTACGTCCATCGACAACCTGCGTGTTTCATTAGATCGTCACTCCATTTAATGGGTGTTCGCAAGATACTGCGCTTGTTAGTAGAAGACTGCCTATGCTATGGTACCATAGTACCATATAGCATATAGTCTATAGTCTGATATAAGGCCCATTGCCACTTCAGCATACTGATATTATCACTCAGAGAAATTCCGAGCATAGCCTTCTCCATAGCTCGCCGAGTAACTTTAAGCTTGCTGAGTAGTTACCAACTTACTATTGAGTAAGTAAATCGTTCAGAGAGCGCCAGACGTAGATAGAAATTGATTACGTAACTCAGAGAGGCTTCTTCTATGCACGCTGACTAGTGAGTAAACTTACGCGTAAAGGTGTTGTAATGCCGCGTATATGAAACAGCATTTTAACTAAACATTGAAACTATTTTTACAATATATTATAGCCGTAGTAACTCCGTATAGGGCGTAGCGCTTACTGTAAATTTTACAATACGCGACCAAAACCTGATTAAGATGCTCGCTGCCACTAATGAAATTTTAAGTGCTGATTTATCACATGCTCGGCAAAGAACGTCAGTCACCATCGTGAGGAAACATGCATATCAGAAAAAAGAATCCGAGACTTCTGAAGTCTTCAGCCCCTCAGAAATGAAAGAAGGCCTGTGCCCAGAAATGTTTAAGCTACAATTTTACTTTGCTTTTACTTTTATATAGTACAGAAAATCGTGCTGAATATCCCCAATGCTTACCGTAAAGACGATCGATATAAAGTAATCTTTTATCTTTGCATCGATCGACTACTCACCTCGTCAGGTCATCAGTTATAAGCCATAGTTCTCGATCAATCTTATCAATCAATCTCTGTAAGGGTAACTTATTTTTTCTTTTTCTATTTATTAATTTCAGGCCCCGTTACACGTGTGGAATGTTAGTGAGATGCGGTGGAGCAGCGCGACCTCTGTATCCGTACAGACTGGCGGCTGCCGATGACGACTGCTGTGCGCCCGGGGCCTGGCCGCCGCCTGTAGTTCCCCCCCGACCTCTAACGCGCACGCCAAGCAAAGAAGACTTGACACATACTACTTACGTTAATTCTGGGTAAGAATATACGAGAGAAGATTTTTTCAATAGGAAAAGGATGACAAAGAAACTACGAGTATCAGTCCAACTGATAAATACCTATATCTATCCTCGATTGAAAATCTAAATGTAGATGTATTGTCACCCCCAAGAACTAAGACACTCGTATAATGCCTCGTATAACCAGTAAAAGTGGTCTCTACTATGACTACACGAAACACAGCAATAGGTATTCTGTTATTTCACGTTAGTATTATGTGAGAACGTGGTCCTTCCCTGATTGAGCCGACCCATTCGTGCTGCAACCATAACATAGCTACGGCGTGAATACCGCGGTAAATAGTTCGCAGAATTGAGGCCATGAACTATAAAAATTATACCTTAAATTTTAAATTATTGCTTATACATTTGTCAGATCATTAAATTTATCTCATCCGTTATATCATATTCTGTCGAAAAAAATTATGTTGTCCTCAAATGACACAGCAATTGCGCTCTTGGCCTCATTCACATTTTTATCCCGAAACTCTTTTTTATTTTTAAAAATAAATATGGATTGCTGGAAACTAAATCAACCCAGACTTAGAGTTGATATTTCTAAATTAGAGCTCATTGTTAGCACCGCAGTCATCGTATTATTCTTCTAGAACATGGTTGCATTGTCATGCAAAAACAATACGCCTGTGCTTAATTTTCCTTGTCCATTTGCCCTTACAGTGACTCCAACCTTTCAATTATTAATCCAGCGTAGTAAAATTACGTTATGGAAACAAATTTTTCTTTGTAGTTGTTCAAAAGGGTTTTGTTTATTTATTACAACTAATTATAATTTTTTTTATTAGTGCAGCCCTCACAAATATCATGCGATTTCATATAAATTTGATCAAGATCTGACCAGTAATTTTTGAGTTATCCTTAATAATGCGTATTTAATTGTTTTGAGACGTTACATTATAGACATTCATACTCACAAATACAATAGAATTCAGCCAGCGTTAAATAGTCTGCGCTTACATAGACATGCAAGATATATTGCATGTCTATGTAAGCGCAGACTACTCGGTGACTGTAAAACTCGACAACAGTTTAACTTGACTAGTCTCACATTATCGCACGTCTCACATGTTATTATTTTGTTCACATAACTTTGTTCAGAATGGGAGAGAGCAACCGCTTCGGTGGCAGCTGCGTGGTGCACGGGTCGAGCGAGGGCGGCGCGCTGGGCGGAGCGCTGGGCGGCGCGCTTGGCGGTGCGGGCGGTTCCGAGGAGGAGGCGCTGAGCCCCGTGCCCGAGCCGCCGCAAAGCTTCAGCCACTCCGCCTGCCCGCCCGAGATGCACCGCACCTGCTTCTGCGTACGCTTCATCGCCGAGCACACGAGGATGCTCGAGGATTCCACCAAGGTAAGTATTGATCTCCTTTTAGATTCCCACGATCGCAAGCAAATCTAGCATCGCACCTGCTTCTGCGTACACTTCATCGCCGAGCACACGAGGATGTTCGAGTTTAAAAAAATTCCCGGTAATGAACAAGAAGTTTTTCTTTTTCTTCATTAGCAGCCCGTTAAAGTTCATTGCTAGAGATGGGCTCTCCCGTTTCAGGAAGGATTTGCCAAAGATGTTCGCCATGCTAAGCAGGCGGATTTTCGAAGCGGATTGGCGGCGGCAGCACCAGGCGTCTCATACCTGTGACGTTGCTTCCCGTCACAAGTCTACATATTTTTTATTATTTTAAAAACGTTAACCCCACACTAGGATTTTCTCCTGTATCTATTTCTCAAAACCAGAGCTTTCTCTTTTTATTAAAACCAGAGCGTGATGCCAGTGATGATGTATGGAACTGAGACATCGTCCTGCACTGCTAACCATATGAGTCTAGATGCTTAAAATCGATCAACAAGCTATGGAAAAAGCTTGGCTCGGAGTTCCTCTACCTGATAGAATCCGTACGTAACGAATAAATGGGCAGTATACCCAGTGTAACCGACACTGTGCAGCGGAACAGTAAGCTGAGATGAAAAAGGGCCAGCTAACTTATTTAATTGACAACCGCTAGGGAAGAAAGGTTCTAGAATGACAGTTGCAGGTAGCTCAGAATCATGTTTCAGCAGTCTGAATGTTTGAACAGTCAATCACTGTTCAGCAGTGAGTTTTTGATAGGCTGTAACGGCTAACGCTTAAACAATATGCAACAAAAACCTTGTGGTTCCCTTTAAGTGCGTTATCAGAATCAGTATTCAAACGTATAGAAATAACTTTTTTTTAAAGACTGTTAGGTTTATTTACTCGAACATACATATGTACATACAAAGAGACATAAATATTATAAACATACATCAATGCATAATATACGTACACGTAACAAATGCTCACAAACACATACATAATAATACGTATACCACTCCTAATCCATGCTTAGCGAATTTAAAGGCTAATTGTTTATTTTACAAATGCAGTCTGAATAAATCGTTACTAAAGAACACACGCCTCTTTCTGTCAAAATCAAGTAAATCAACAGTGTACCTTAAGAACACAAACATATGGTCCATTTTCGAGCCGAATAGAAGCGATCGGAGAACGGTCGACGACGCTGCCGCGAGAACAAAAGACTGCATTCCTTTAGAGATAAGACGGCCGAGTTATTGAAAAACAACACTGTTTTGCAAGATTTGTGTTTCATCACTTTACTTTCGATAAATTTAATCGTGGTGTACAATGACTACGGAAGTTTTAAAAGCGTTAAGTACTGTAGAAGACATTGCACAAATATTAAAGAAGACTCAAGTAAACCTAAAAAAATGTCCTAAAGCAAGATTAACTCCTATTTATGCCGAAGCGCGTCTTAAGTGTGTCGAAGAATATTGGATGGATTATAGAAAAGCTTATGGTGATATAATTAGTCACACCCCAAAAGAGAAAAGAGATTTGGTGCCGTACTTTGCAAAGGAGGAGTTTTACGAACACGAAGAGTTATATATTACGTTAAAGGCGGAGCTACAAGATATTATAACTTCTCAACCAATTAATACATCCATACCAATTATGAGTGAATGTCAACAACCACGCGTCGTGTTACCCAATATACAAATTCCAACTTTTAGTGGGCAATATGAAGATTGGTCATCATTTTACGATTTGTTTAATACGCTCGTCCATAATAACGGGTCATTGAGTAATGTTCAACGGCTCCATTATTTGAAGACAAGCCTTACAGGAGAAGCTGCTTTGGTTTTGAAGCACATACAGGTAACGGAGTCTAATTACGAACAGGCATGGAATTTATTGAAAGGTCGATACGGTAACAAACGTATGACTGTGAATGCGATTATGAAGAGGTTATTTTCTCAGAAAAGGATGACAGTTAATTCGTCGAGTCAAATTAAACATTTACTAGACACAACTTTTGAATGTTTACATCATTTGAAAAATGTAAATGTGACAACTGACAATTGGGACACACTTGTTATATTTGTTATTGTGCAAAAATTAGATCCAGATACACACAAGGACTGGGAGGAGCACGTGAGTAACAGTTGTCATGATCCAGAAAGCCTACCGTCGCTCGAAATGTTTCGAAAATTTTTGGAAAGCCGTTTCCGTACGATGGAACTAATAGAACCTCAGAAACAAAAAACAAATACCATACGAGAAAAATCTTTTCATAGTTCAATTTCTGAGAAGGTCTGCATCATGTGCAAGGAAGGTCACAAACTGTGTCATTGTAAAGAATTTGGCAAAATGCAACCAACAGAAAGAGGTGAATATGCAAAAAAGAACAATTTATGCTTTAACTGCTTAGGAGCGGGTCACTCCGCAACAAAATGTCGCATACCGTTGACTTGCCGCATCTGTCGCAAGCGTCATCATTCTCTCTTACATCAAGCAAAGCAAGAAGTCACACTGGGTCAAACGAGCAACTCACAACCAGTGTCACAATCACATGTAAGTGTAGAGGAGCCAGTTGAAGTCAACATGATGATTGCTTCACATTTTACTGCTAAAAGCAATATAGCTCTCTTAGCAACGGCAGAAGTGATTGTACGAAGCACGCAAGGTCATACAACAATTTTGAGGGCCCTTGTCGACCAAGGCTCTCAAGCATCCTTTATAAGCGAAAGGGCAGCACAACGCCTTAAAACCACACGGCAATCAGTCAAGGGAAATGTAGTTGGCGTAGGATCTACAAGTGTTGGCTGCTTCGGCAAGTACCTGCGCCGCATAGACAGGGAGCCGGACGCTCGGTGCCACCACTGCATCCATTGCGGGGAGGACACGGCGCAACACACGCTCGCCGAGTGTGTAGCTTGGGAGGAGCAGCGCCGTGTCCTCACAAATAAAGTAGGAGGCGATCTGTCGCTGCCGGCCTTAGTGCGGAAGATGGTCGGTAGCGCAGAGTCGTGGGATGCGGTGGTGTCCTTCTGCGAGGATGTGATGTCGCAGAAGGAAACTGCGGAACGGGAAAGGGAGATCTCGACTCCCTTCCCTGGCCGCAGAAGGCGCACCGGGCGCAGGAGAAGGGCGGACAACGCCCTTTTCCGGCCCCCATAAATGGGTCCAGGGGCGAGGGTTTTGGGGAAGCCCCCGCCACCCCTACTCGATGGACCCGAGGCGGAGGCGCGCGCGGGTGTCGGCGCGCGCCCCTGAGGCGATACACGGGGTAGTTTAACACCTCACTACCCCGTGCAGGAGACGAGGCCCGGACGGACCGGGCCAGCACTAGTGTGGGGCTGCGGAAGAATTTGGATTCCCGCGGCCCCACGCGCACGTGTGAGGAGACACCGGGGTGGTTTTAGCCGGTAAGAGTCCGGCACGCCCCTCCGCCTTTCCCCAGGCGGAGGTAGTCCATGAGGATTTCCCCCCGTAAAAAAAAAAAAAAAAAAAAAAAGGATCTACAAGTGTTGGCATAAAACAAGTAGTGCAGTTGGAACTACAATCACGTTGGGATTCAACCTTTAGTTTAGAAATACAAGCTTACGTGATGCCCAAGCAACTAACTACTAAGATACCTACCAAAACTATAATATCAAACAATTGGCCACATATAGATGGACTCAACCTGGCAGATCCTAGATATCATATACCAGGTTCAATCGACTTACTTCTAGGTGTTAGAGAATATGCGCAAATATTACAACAAGAGCTTATCAAAGGTCCGCCAGGCACGCCATGTGCTCAAAGAACCAACCTGGGCTGGATTTTATTTGGAGATATAAATACAAATACACAAGAAAATGACGTTTTAGTTCTACATCATCAAGTAGATGTTGAAGAATTACTGAAGACATTGTGGGAAATAGATACAGATCCGAAGAGAAAACTTACCAAAGAAGAAAGAATTTGTGAAGAAATTTATGAAAAGACTTATTCTAGAAGAGAAGATGGAAGATATATAGTCAAGTTACCATTCAAAACAGAAAGCCCGAAATCAACCGAAGGATTAACACGCCAAACAGCATTAAACAGATTAATACAGTTAGAGAGAAGATTTCAAAGGTCACCCCAGTTAAAAAAAGAATATATTGAAGTTATTGAAGACTACAAAGGGTTAGGTCACATAGAAGAGGTACCAATAAATGAAATACAAACAAAAAGGACGGTGTATCTGCCACATCACCCTATTTTGCGTGAAGACAAAGAAACCACAAGAATACGTGTAGTCTTTGATGCTTCGTGCAAAGGATCTAATGGAATTTCACTGAACGACGAACTGTTAATGGGACCGGTCATTCAAGAAGATCTTCGAAGCATAATCATGCGATGGCGATTACACTGTTTTTGCTTTGCATCAGACATTCAGAAAATGTATAGAATGATATTAGTAACCAAGGACGACAGAGATTACCAGAGAATCTTATGGAGAAGTGACACTTCGCAAGAAGTTAAAGATTACCGGTTACTTACAGTTACCTTCGGAACAACGTCAGCACCTTACCTGGCAGTAAGAACGCTAACGCAACTGGCATTTGACGAAGGAGATAAATATCCAGAAGCTGCTCAGATCCTTCGAGAAGACTTTTACGTAGACGATGTTTTATCGGGTGGCGATACAGTAGAAGAAGTCATAAAAATCAGTCAAAAGCTAAAATCTCTACTTAAAAGTGGTTGCTTCGAACTCAAAAAATGGTCTTCCAACAGTGTCGAATTCACGAAGTCAATAGAACCAAATGAAAGATCTTCCAAAGCACACATAGATCTCAAAATGGATGGAAAAATTAAGGCTTTAGGTATTCTTTGGAACCTAGCCACTGATGAATTTTGCTATAACTTTCATCTCCCTGAAAATTTATCAATTATCACAAAAAGAACCGTCCTGTCAGATCTTCAAAAAATATACGATCCTTTGGGATGGATTGCACCGAGTGTCATCATGGCGAAAATGTTTGTACAAAAATTATGGCTGGAAGGAGTTGCATGGGATGACAAAATAAGCTCCATCCTTGAAACAGAATGGTTGACATTACGAGCAGACTTCCAGCGCATCAACGAAGTATCCATACCAAGATGGTTCCACACAATGAAGTGTAACAAACAACAGATACAAATTCACGGTTTTTGCGACGCATCATCCCGTGCTTATGGAGCAGCCGTATATTGCAGAGTTGTGAAACTCGACGGTACTATAAAGACAGCTCTCCTTGCAGCGAGAACAAGAGTGGCCCCTTTGAAAACCGTGACTTTGCCACGCTTAGAGCTTTGCGGAGCTGTTCTACTCTCCAAACTTCTTAAACAAATCGGTCTGGCAATGAGAATACAATCAGCTCAAATATACGCGTGGACAGACTCGTCAATAGTTCTGTCGTGGTTGTCTGGTGCACCTAATAGATGGAAACAATTTGTTGCCAACAGAGTTGTAGAAATAACCGATAATGTTAACAATAGTCAGTGGCACCATGTACTATCTCTTGATAACCCCGCCGATATTGTATCCAGAGGCATGTTAGTGACGGAATTAAGACAGTGCAAGTTGTGGTGGGAAGGGCCAAAATGGCTTTCTAGAGATAAAATAAGATTTGAAAGACCGAACATAGTACCAATAAATTTAGAAGCAAAAGAAACAATTTTAGTAAATTTGAAGATAGAAAGTAAAGAACAAAATGAATTAACTTTGACAAAAAAAATCACAAATTTTAATACTTTAAATGAATTATTAACAACAATAACATTATGTAAAAGATTTCTAAACTACAAGAAACACTCTGATATCAGTATTCCAATAACAACAAATGAATTAGAAGATGCATTAATTTTGTGTATTAAGATTGTTCAAAGAGAAGATTATGAAGGAGAAATAGAATCTTTGAGAAAAAATAAACAAATAAAAGGAAACAGTAAACTAAAGAGTTTGAATCCTTTCTTAGATGAAAATAATATTCTCAGGGTGGGCGGAAGGCTAAGACTTGCTGATTTAGCAGAATGTAGTAAACATCCCATAATCCTAAGCAATAAGAACAGTCTTACACCTTTAATTATAGGTGATGCACATAAAAGGACACTGCATGGAGGTGTACAGTTGATGCTGTCTTACATAAGATCAAAATATTGGATAGTGAGAGCAAAGGGCTTAGTCAAGAAACACATTCATAAATGTTTAGTATGCGCTAGACAAAGCGCCACAACCAGAACCCAAATAATGGGAGATCTACCACAAGTGCGAGTGACTCCAAGTCGAGCCTTTTTATATAGTGGAGTCGACTTTGCTGGCCCTCTTCAAGTTCTAACATCCAAAGGCAGAGGTGCCAAGACTCACAAGGCCTATATATCAATTTTCATCTGTATGGTTACCAAAGCTATACACCTAGAATTGGTGGGAGACATGACGTCAGAAGCATTTATAGGAGCATTTAGACGATTTGTGGCAAGGAGAGGAAAATGTATTCATTTATACAGTGATCAGGGCAGAAATTTTGTTGGAGCGAATAAAGAATTAACACAAGCTTGGAAGGAGGCTTGTGCAGAATTTACTGGTCATGTTGCAGCACGTCTTGTTTCCGAAGGCACACAATGGCACTTTATTCCTGCTTACAGTCCTAATTTCGGTGGCCTTTGGGAAGCAGGCGTTAAATCAATAAAACACCACCTTAAAAGAATTTTGTCGACTAATTTAACGTTTGAAGAGATGACCACCCTCTTGTGCCAAATTGAGGCTTGCCTCAATTCTCGTCCTTTATGTCCAGTGGATGAATCCGATACTGATCAAATTGAGCCTCTTACACCTGGACATTTTTTGATTGGAGAAGCCCCAATTACTATTCCCTCTCCAAGTTTAAAGGAAGTTAAAGTGCACTATTTAACACGATGGCAACATACACAAAAGCTGTTGCATGATTTCTGGTCACGCTGGCAATCAGAATACCTCTCCAGGCTTCAACAGAGACCGAAGTGGCTAAAGCAAAGGAAGGAACTGGAGAGAGGAGACATAGTGCTAATCAAGTCGGACAATCTCCCTCCTGGGAAATGGGCTCTAGGACGAGTGACAGACAAACACCCTGGCCCGGATGGAGTGACCAGAGTGTACAGTGTAAAAAGTGGTGATAGTGTTGTTAAAAGAACTGTAACAAAATTATGTTTACTACCTATTGATTCTCAACCATAAATATGTTTATATTATTATTGTAAAAGCATGGAATAGGTTCGCGTTTTATAAAAATAATTTTATAATGAAAACTCAATTTTCATCTTCTTCTTTTATTTGATAAAGGACTTAGTAGTCCTTTGGTGGGCGGTATGTTAGGTTTATTTACTCGAACATACATATGTACATACAAAGAGACATAAATATTATAAACATACATCAATGCATAATATACGTACACGTAACAAATGCTCACAAACACATACATAATAATACGTATACCACTCCTAATCCATGCTTAGCGAATTTAAAGGCTAATTGTTTATTTTACAAATGCAGTCTGAATAAATCGTTACTAAAGAACACACGCCTCTTTCTGTCAAAATCAAGTAAATCAACAGTGTACCTTAAGAACACAAACAAAGACAAACATTAAAAATATATATTTTAACTAAAAAAACGTGTGTGTACTTTTGTACTTCTTAAACGTAACAAAACAAACATAACTAAAAATAACTACCTTAAATGTAGTTATCAGTTCCCACGAAAACTTGAAAGTTACCCACTGAAGTTGTAGTTTTTAGGTGTCGGTGTGCGCACGCATCGTAAAAATTCACTCTCATAATTTTTTCCAAACGCCCCAAAAGAAGTATAACTTCAAAAAAATTAATTTACAAATTGTATGTGGTTTTATTAGCTCTGCATTATCGGGGGAGTAAGAGGATTGTAAAGACCCCGCTTTACCGACGCTCGTGTCAGTTAGATGTAATAAAACCACATACAATTTGCAAATAAAATTTTATTTTAATTAAATTTAATTAATTTAATTTTAAATTTAATTAATTTAATTTAATGCTCGAGTTTTCGGAAAAAAAATATTTCCATACATTTAAATACTGATTCTGATAACGCACATAACGGGAACCACTGGGTTTTTGTTACACGCTGTATAGAGCAGAGAAATAACTTGGTTTTGCCTGAGTCTTAGGTAATTAGAGGAAGGGTTAATCACAACATTATCTTCGACTGGTATCCAATTGGAACCACATTTAAAAATCTCATCATTGACTTTTTATGGAGGGATTATTCAGTTGTTTGACCATCCTAAATAACTTTTCTTTGAAAATAACTTTTTACTTAGATATGTTGTATTTTGTTATATTCTTGTATGTGTAATTTTTAACTTAGAACATAGATAAGTTGCAATGAAAAGTTACTTTCATTGTCCGAAGAAATTATTAATACAATATATCTAATTGAAATATTCCAGGTGAAAGAAGATTGGAAATACGTAGCAATGGTCCTCGACCGGCTGTTCCTATGGATATTCACTTTAGCAGTGCTGGTGGGGACGGCCGGGATCATTCTACAGGCGCCGACACTGTACGACGACCGCATACCCATTGACAAGCAGTTCAACCAGATCACCACGTCAACTTTGGTGCGGTGTCCGCCGCCTACATAAAATATCACTACATAAAAATGCAACGGTGTATACCTTACTGATACATGTTTGTAAATCGGTTGTGAAACAGGAGAAACGTCAATGTTTCCTTTAAATATTTTTTTTATGTCATTTATTACGAGTATTCATAAGATGTTCTACTTATAGTCAATTCAGCGATTTTTTTTTAACATAAATAGCCATCTGTAAAAATTTAATATCAACCAGGAAGTTTTGTCTGTTGTCTAATTATTGAACTATTTTACACAGGTAATTACTTTTATATGATTTATATAACATTATTGTAGTGTTATTCCAAAAATGTCGTTATTTAAAGTAAATAAATATCCTCCTGTGAGACTCGCGAGATAATCGTAGTTGATACGAGTGATCACCGTTGCAGTTTTGCAACATCCAACGCACACCCGTCCTACCCGGCACGTGTTCTATTCCACGACACGTTAATTGTATTAGCGTCTAGTATACTATATAGATATATTCTCGTCCTTCTTAAACTTTGCACCCAATATTTACCTTCATGCACTCAAACTATCCTCTTACCCTCTTTCTCTAAACTTATTAACCTTACCTACCTAAGTTCTATAGCCTTTAATCCTTAGAGTATACATATATATTACATAAGCAAGCTATGCTTATGTATACTCTAAACTTAAATCACAAATTATTGCATGTCATGACTCATGATCTTAAAAGTAACACAGTGACAATAAAAAGTAGAAATTGACAACAAATTAATTTATATTTAATCTTCAAAATATTCAGTTTGCGTTTAGTGTTTTATTTTTATTATTTCTATTTTCATTGCAAAATTAAATTAAATTTTCTAAGGCATGATTTTTACTGTTTGATAAAAAAAAATTAAAACAAAGTTTAACACAGTCGATAAATTAAATGTTAGTAATTCACAGTATTTAGAGAATTTTGTAGTAATTTTTGAAGATAAATAATGTTATTAAATTAAAAGGTGTTTAAAACCATGTAAAGTTAACTATATCATAATAAATTACTTATGTTCAGTACATAATATTCGATTAGATATAATATGTAGCTTGAAAGTGAAACATAGGTATAGTATAAAATTAACGAACGAACCACCACCAAATCGAAGCTGTCTGTGTTCAACAAGATTACTAGATAAGAAAAATAATGTAGTGAAGTAGTATCTTTGTATTCTTTATCATAAGTATTTCTTATGACGCACCTCGCTTTTTCTCATGAAATATTTATTTTAAGGTCCCATAGTTTAATTTTACGATGTTAATCTCTAAGTAGATATCGAAAATAAACTTAAAATAAGACCTAGGTTAACTGTCAGCACTATCTCGCTATCTTAAAATTTAAATTAAATCACACTTTTAAAATTTCTACTATAAATACATTCAATTGTCGTAGAATAGAACATGTACTACCTTAACTATAACGATTTTAATATCTTTAAGAAATGCGTAGGTTTATAAATCACATCATCAACTTACACCATCATTGAATACAGGTAACTAATTTCTTTGTTGTAATTTATATTGTAAGTTATAACATAACAAAAATGTATGTCACATTTTTCTATTTTTCTTCACAACGTAAGTACGTTACAGGCCCAAAATACAAATATTTCCTTATGATAAGAAGTACAATATTATAACAATTTACTTTAAGTGAAAATTGCTCAATTTTAAGAGTGTTTCTAATAAAGGATTTCGATCTATCCTAGGAGATATCCATTACGATTTATGTCAGCATAATCTATTCCCGATTTACTTTATGGCCAATCGTTTGAAATACTAAGGACTCATTGTCAGATTTTTATACGTATCCACAAATGCAATTGTAAATATAAATAATTTTAGATAATGCTTTTATTGAAGGAACAAGTGATTTAATATTGGAGTGGAATTGAATCATAAAAGAAAATATTATTTTAAAATATTAACATAAATCTCGACTTAAGTTTAATAACAAGTGTGTACAAACATTAACGATGAATTAATAAGTACGCTAATAAAATGCTTTTTGTGTGAAAGCCAAAATATTTAAACAATGTGCACTTGATCAGTGCCGATATTTGATAGATTATTACCAAATGTATTAAATTACTTGGCAGTACGAACGAGAACTAGGAAATGTATTGGTGCATAGTTTAGGATTGAAGAGTAAGTAAATGAAATTTGTAGGTATGTCACATTGGACTGTTTGCAGTAGAGTAGCGCAGCTCAATTGTAGGTAATAAATTTGTAATTTATCTATTTATATTGTTAATAAAAATGTTATAACATAGAAAGCGTCATTTTATTTGTGCTTACGTTACGCCTTAAAATTAAAGTGCAGTCTTTAAATGTCACCCTTGGGGCAGAGGTAGGATTGCCAATATCTCTTATATAAAAGATTGTCCTTTTTTTGTATGAGAGGGGCCACCTGATGGTAAGTGATTACAGCCGCCCATGAACTACTGCATGGGAATTGCATGTGTTGCCTGCCTTTTAGAAAAGAGGAAGCTCTTTTCTTGAAGGTCCCTAAGTCGTATCGGTCCGAAAAAATCGCTTGATGTAGTCAATTCCACAAGGAAGTTGTGCGAGAAAGAAAACTTCTTATAAATCGAGTGTAGTGGACAGCCAATCATCCAGACGGTATGGATGGTATCCCTTTAGAACCCTTATAGAAACCCCTTTGTCGTGCCCCGAAACTGAGGAGATCCTCAGTTTCAGGGCACTTCTTGTTTGCCTCAGCCAGTATTGGAATCCTCGGCGTGGACATATCGGATGACGTGCAGGGAAGAGAAGGCCAAATTGGTCTATAAAAACTTGGCGTGCTCAGCAGAGTGGGACAGTATTTCATGTCGCCACAACGCCTGCAACTTTACAATGCGCAGGATCGGCCTCACATGAAATACTGTTCCCATCTATGGGCTGGCGCTCCCCAGTGCCAGCTCCTTCCAATTGATCGTATCCAGCACAAATTGTTTCGAATTGTCGGTTACCGATCTCTTTCTGATCGTCTTCACTCATTGGCACTGCGAAGAAATGTTGCATCTCTTTGCCTATTTTTTCGCATCTACCACGGAGAATGTTATGAGAAATTATTCGGACTTATTGCAGTCGTTCAATTTCACCATCGTACATCGCGACAAAACTCACGATACCATCCATACCATCTGGATGATTGACGGTCCACCACTGTGCGTATTTACTAGAAGTTTTCTTCTTTGCACAACTTTCGTGGAATCGACTACCACCAACGATTTTTCAGGACCCATACTTAGGGACCTTCAAGAAAAGAGCTTAGATACTCTTTTATTAAAAGGGCGGTAACGCATCTGCAATTTTCTTAATGTTGCAGGTGTTCACGTGCGACAGTCGAAACTTTACCATCAGTTGAGCCGCATGTTCGTTTGGCCACTCTGCTATAAAAAAAATAACAAAGATTTCTTCGGAAGGAATCTTACTCCCGACAGCGCTTCAAGTGTAACAATTGCACTACGAAAACTGCTATGATTTCATACGGGATAGGAACGGTCTCAAGGTCAAAGCATTAAGTGAGCAAAACGTTTAAACCAATTACGGAATATATAGAGTGCCACATCATTTCCGTCATGAACGGACGCTTGAAATGAGCAAAACATACAAACCATATACTACAGAGTGCCACAAAATTTCCGACGTGAATGGACGCATGAAGTAAGCAAAACATAGAAACCATATACGGAATATACAGAGTGCCACATCATTTTCGTCATGAACGGACGCATGAAGTGAGCAAAACATATGAACTACATACGGAATATACAGAGTGCCCCATCATTTCCGTCATGAACGGACGCATGAAGTGAGCAAACCAACAAACTATATACGAAATATACCTACAGAGTGCCACATCATTTCCGTCATGAACGGACGCATGA